GCGCGCCGCATACTGTGTCATGTTGAAGAACTTGAAATTTCAGACCAAAATGTGCCACCCAAACTGATTTGTAGTTCATCTTTATCACACGGAACGAAAGAAGAACCAAGCAAAATTCACCATTATTTATAAAAGGGTCCCTTTTCTATCCGACTCCAGATGCAACTCAACGTTCGCTGTGAGCGCCGCGCTACACCACCTCCTCCCCCCCCCCCCACACCCGACACGCTTCATCATCCGCAGTAAAGAAGAGGTGCGCAGATCCAGAAAACAAGTGTGTGCCGCTCTCGCCTCGTAAAACAGTGCAGGAAGGCTAGGAACTTGTAGCGATAGATGCCCTCCTCTTGGAGACTGCGCTGCCGCACCCTTCACGGTCGTGACCAGCTTCAAAAGAAAAGGTAAGATAAAAAGTGATAAAGATCCCATTGTAAAAAGAACGTGGCAGAGGAAGGGGAGCTGATATTTCTGTGATATAAACAAGCAAAAAATTATCCGGAAAATATTCCTTTACCCGTGTGCTCCCCTAAAATCAACTGAAGAGAATCAAAGAGGTTTTATTCAGTTTTCGATAAGTTTTCCCATTTTTTTCACGGGCCGCCAGTTCCACCTCCTGTCCTAATTTCAAGAACCATTTTGTTTTTTTTCTGTATTCACAAACAAGAGTCCTCAAGAGAAAATAGGGTGGCAGTTTGTTCGTGCAAAAAGAATGGTATGCTTGGTTGGGATCTAATGCAATGAGATCAGATGTATATGACGAGTGTCACACTTAGTACTGCATCGCTTCCCGAATAATAGAGTAATTAAAAAAGTGACAGTAGTACTAAAATAACCTGTATAATACACGATCCATTCAGAAGAAGGGTACCATTTGCTTCAGTACAAGAGATACGTGTGCCAAGAGAGCAGTCTGAAATTCTGACAAATTCGCTGACTATTAAACAGTAATGATCTTATCCAGGACCACAACCATATTCTTCGTACCCACCTGGTTCTTTGATATACGTGAAGATTTTAGCAGGGTGACCTTTCTCGCAGGCATCATTCTAGGGTTGATTTTGGGGACTCCCGGATTTCCATCCAGTGTCACCCAGAGCATTCGATGCTACTGCAGTTCGGGTAACTCGTTGTTGAGAGTATTGTGTTCGCTTGGCGTACAACTTATTTTTGGAGAGGAATATGCTATGCCATAAATATGCCACCTGAGTCCCATCTGCCGTAAACCGGAATCGTAATAAGGCACGACTTTAAGCAAATAGTTTCAGTAATGATCGATCAAACTGTACGTTTGGGACCAAGAATCCAAGGAAAGTGGTCGCATTACAAAGACAACAATTCGCGAGTGACAAGCGAAAGCATGGAAAACCCTACTTTCAGACTTTTGCTGGTTGCTCCAATTTCTAAAGCTCTCTCGAGTTTCTATGTTATTACCGCCCTTGACACTGTCCTTCCTGATGTGCGGATCGCTAAAGTCATTCATTTATCAAAGTGCCGGCTTTCTGTGCGGGACTCTAACCCATAAACCTTGAGAAGGGCGACCTCACCATACGCGACTCCGCGTTTACTGCTGGCGAGAATCACAGCGTTGGGCGAACTCTATCGGAGAATTCAATTCCGTTTCCTTAAGCCACCCATCATGCAAGAAGCTGGAAAGCAGGGGCGGAGGGTAAGCATTTGGTGTGTGGGAGGTAAGAGCAATCGAAAACTTGGGAAAAGAACTCATGAGTTTACTTGTCTGTACGAGCTTTTTCTGAATAGGCAAGAGCGGGAGAAGGTCAGCTTTTTTTGCTTCCGAAAAAGAATCACTCATACCCTCCTGCCTCTGATCTTAAAAACAGAAAGAAATAAATAAGAATAAAGCTTACTTAGTCCACTCCAAGAGTTTTCACAGTTCGACCAAGGTAACGAAAAACTGATAGAATTGATGAAATAGAATAAAGACCACGCGGAAACGATATTCAAATAAATCGCTATGACGCATGATATAAGCACCATAGCTACACCAACGCCTGTAATGAATCAGACTGAATCAAAAATTATTTCAAAAGTTGAACAAAACGAAATGAACATTGTCTAAAAATATTTAAAAGGTGGGAGATAAACTGTGACGTATCTATGTCCTCTGCTTTCCCCAGGCTCAATCCTAGCAGAGTGGAGACAATAGGAATCGCGTAACCTCACAGAACATAGTCCCGCCACAGCGTGCCTCCGTGCCCTCCTCCCGAACTACACTCCATATCCCGGAGATGAGAAGGGCGTGGCTTCGTGGTTCATTTAAAAGTGACACGGGACAAATCTTGTGAGATTTCCTTTTGAGACAAGTGTTATTCTGTTGCGTGCTGGATGAAGACATGGTTACAATCGCCACAAAACGGCAGCATCCAATAAAAGCTTAATCGCCGACACGTTCGACCCGAGTACGCAGCCACGCCCACCCCATCTGCCGGATATACAGTGCACTTTGATGCGAAAAATGTTGCAAAAACGAAGGCAATACAAAAATTTTGAAAATGCGGAAAAGCTGAAGAAGTAAAATTTGTTAAGATACCTTTGAATAGCGGAACCACATTCCAAACGGATATCGCAGCTAACGAAGAAAATTGTCCGAGTACTATTTCCATGAAGAACATAGGAAGCGCAGCTAATACTAGCACTATCAAGTAAGGAATAAAAAATGCCACACCTCCATATTGAAAAATCAGAAATGGAAATCGCCAAAGATTCCCTGAAATATCATTCTTCAGTTCTGACACCGCCTCGACTGACCGTGACTATATCAGCTACACAAAAGGAGCGAAAAAGAGATAAAGTACGAGTTATACTTGGAAGGTTCGCAGCGGCTAGAGCCAACAGGCAGCTTGTATACCAGAGAGCGGCTTATACGTCACTGATGTTGCAAACAGTGAAGCCTATGTAACAGAAGAAAAACAAACCAAGGTGAACGTACCTATGCCAAAAGTGAATCCCACTGCCGCCAACATGTAGTCCGTTTTTGTGCTCCAATTACCGCGGATGCGATTTTCGTCACCTACTCCATTAGTCTCCTCGAATGGATACTCTATATCACCTTCTCGAACGTACCCGGGCAGTTTTGCATCCATCTGAAGCACCAATTATTTCAGTTACTAGCACACAAGTAAGTACATCCACATTATCAGGTCCTGCCCGCTGCGGTAGATGGGTAGCGGTTTAGACGCGCTCTTTTTCTCTGCGGAAAACTGTAACATTGTTGTTGCGCATCAGCCATTCCACCCGCATGGATCGCTCGATTTTACCAGTTTTGCAGAACTTGTGCAGAGCGGACTGGCCGCTTGCCTGCGAAACTCTTTCCCACGAAATACGCCCCTAAACATCGCAACGAAGGATACTATATACGCAAGGATTTAGGGAATTTTGGAGAACAAACATAGTTGAATGGGAGGGGCACATGGTAATGCGGTAATTCTCCTAAGCGAGAGTAGGCCATGACCACTCTGGTCGCCTGCACTCTCCTAAGCCGAAGTCTGGCTATAAGAGAAGGGACAAAAGTGTCGTTCACAACACCCCGCCTTCCTCTCAATCACACTGGCACCGGTTTGGCGAGCACATTGATTAAGAAATCGTGTCAATAGTTATCTGAGTCATTTTCGCAATAAAAACTATGTTAATCGATTTGTGCGCAATAGACACGCATGATCGGGCCTAATAAGCCACTAGGTCAATATATAGGTTCGAAGCGACATGAAGAACATAGCAGAACATAGAAAAAAGACCCGTAAAGTCTTCACCGTTGATAAATGCCTTAACGAGACGCGGCACGCATTCTACTTCCATTGAGATCCGTACTCTCTAATATAATGGCATGAGGGGGGGGGGGGGGCGGCAGGGAGGAAGGCAGGAGCAGGGCACGCCATCGCGTTGTGATCATTTCCTGAAAAATACGACCCCCTAATTCCATCCTCAAATACGACCCCCTCCCATGCTATCTACCAATTTCCTAGATTTTCCCCAACTTCCTACCGATTTTTCCCAGAAAATTTCTTGTTTTTCGGTCAAGAATTTTTCCGTCGAGCGGGAGGGGGGCAATGCCGTCAGCGATTTAACTAATAATTTTTCAACAGTCGGAAACTAGACTTGTATAGATCTTACGGGCACTCTCTCCCCACACAACGACCCAAACACGATCCCCCTCCACTCACGGTCAACGGTCACGGTCAAATACGACCCTGCGCATTGCGGATCATCACCAACGCATAGCGTGCCCCTGGTACGAGAAGCGGCCAGCCTCTGCTTACAAAAGCAGTTATGTATTGCTCCTCCAGATGAAAGTGTCAACAATATACCGTCCAGGAGGGAAGAAAGCTTGGCTGGTCTGGGCGGGAGTCGACCCGGAATTCTTAGCGTGCCACTACACCACCTTCGCTTCGTCAAGAACATCTGTCAAGAAAAAGAACACAAATATGGGCGTTACCTGCTTCAGAAAAGGAGGATAAAGAGAGTTGTCGATCAGCTCCTTTCGACTGCTTCGCTTCGACGATAAGTCCGCCGGCGTTGCCCGGCCTTGACTACTGCTCAACGACATGGGCGCTTGTCAGATCAGCTTGTTGACGGTATCTGAAAGTGTACAAGCAATGTATGGAATTCGAACGCCAACTGTGGATATTGCATTGGTGGGCAGCTGGGATATTTTAATCGATAACAATATCCACAACAGAGCTTTGTCAATCGGAAGTTTTCTAACGCCTGTCAAAAGAACAGTACAGAATAACAATGGGAACAAAGGAATGTGAAAGGAAATAAATTTCTGATTCAAGAGGGAGAAAAGCGTTTGAGAGAAGTGATGTACATAAGGGATCGCCATATTCGATGCCTGCCGCATGAACTATAACAGATTTTGCCCGATAGCTACCAAGGGGTTGTATCGTCACTTCCGAATCGGCATTGTACGGTCAGAGGATGAGCTTAGAGCGCACACGGTCAGTGCAGACGTGGGCTACCCAACTTTCTGGTATTCTGTGCTCTCTCTCTCATCTAAATGACCTTTAACACGTTCCAAACCGCGTGACACACATGGTGTGTCATGAGTTCGTCTATGCGGTGTTTTATTCGATTAATCTGGCTTTCCTCCCATAATGTTGTCAAAACGCGCTCTCGGTTACGGAAGAGACTTACTTCATAGGCGATTGAAAAAAATAAGGGATTTTTGGTGAATTATTGATAAAA